AATAATATCCTTTAGTTTGATTATACCGGGGATCCCCGGCCCTGTCCTTGTCCCCGGTTTGATTAACATCCCCTGTCCCTGGCCTCGTCCCCTGTTTGAGTCTACTGGGGATCCCCAGTCCTGACCTCGAGACCCGTTTTAGCAGGGAATCCTCGTCCTCGTTCGGATCGAATGAACCAGGTTCCCCATCGGGTCGAAACAAATCACCATCCCTAGTAATGGATAGTCGACCACAATAATGTGAAGGGGTGACCTGCATAAAGATGCCAAACTCACACATCAACTACCCCAGTTGTATGAAAAACGTGTCAAAATGCAAGATTTCACACACTTATACATTATACGAGTGTTTGATGGATCTAAATTATTAATGCATTATTAAAATATATTTTTTTAAATAATAATGAATAATAAAACTATAAATATTTGATGAAAAATTTAAATCAACATATATTCTGTTAAATAATAATGAATAATAAAACTATAAATATTTGATGAAAAATTTAAATCAATTTTTTTTTTATGAATTTACAAATCTAAGAAGCAATGTTTAAATTAATAATAAAATTAATGGTCTGTTTGTTAACAACTTAATAAGATTCATATCTTACTTGATACGTTATACATGACTGTTTGATAGTGACTTAATGATATAGAAAATAACTTATTCAGTAAGAGTTAATGGTGGAGCTTTATGTCGAAAACCAATTTTTTTTAAACACACCCTTTCAATTAGAAAACATGCTCAATCAACAAAAACTTTTTCGATCTATGTAGGCAAATTAATCCACACATACAGCTTTACCATATAAGACTTAATGGAAAACCAACCAAACAACCCCTAAATATCTAGATAAGGTAAGAGGGAATATTTGTTTGTGAATAATTGAAAAACCCATTTGAAAATGCGTTTGAATGTGAATCCATATGAAGAAATATGTAATGTTGGTGTATATATGTATCATCAAGTAGGTTTTTGCTAGATATTTTCTTTGATTTACATATGAAACATTTATTAATATTTTCTTTTTATCTTTTTAAAATATTTAGTCTTTTTATTTAAACCTACCAATATATATATATATATATATATACATTTATAGATAGAGTTGTTAACGGATTCAACGTTTAGTGAACTGTTCGTGAACCATTTGACGGGAAGTTCGTTAATTTAATAAATGAACGAACATGAACACATTTTTTTTGTTCGTTTAGTTAAATAAATGATCACGAACAAATGCCTTGTTCGTTCATTTACCTCCGTGAACATTCATTCATTTATGTTCGTTAATATTCTTTCATTTACGTTTGTTTATATATAAATATATTTTTATATATTATGACATTAATATGTAAAAAATTAAATTAAGTTTTTTAGAATTCCTTTTATTTATTCTACCCCCAAATTTACCCGGTTTTCCATTTGTTATATTATCTTAGAGAAACAAAATGATAAGGGATGGTGGTTGTTTGTTGTTCATTTTTGTTTGTTTGTTTGTGCTCATTTATGTTTGTTTAAGTTCGTTCATTTATGTTCTCTTAGGATCTTAACGAACGAATACAAAAAAACTAATTTTCTTAACGAACGAGTATGACCAAACACGTTTTCTTAACGAACAAATATGAACACAAAAAATTCCGTTCATTTAAGTTTGTTTATTTAACATCTTAACGAATGGACAAGAATACAAAAAGTTTCATTCATTTACCGGTTTGTTCAGTTAAGTTAAACGAACGAACATGAATACAAAAAGTTTAGTTTGTTTACCGTTCGTGTTCGTTCATCTATTCGGTTAAATTAAACGAATTGAGATACATTTTTGGCTATTATTGTGAAAAAACTTGCTCGAAAATTCGATTCTTTTGACCGAAAGCCAAGAACCTGTAGATTACCTGGTTGAATTGGTAAAAGAAGAGAAACTTAAACCTGTAATCAACTCAGTCAAAGAGGCTTGAGCCAAGAGCATCATGTTCTTATATATGCATACATGTCTATTGTAAACTTACTTTTTTAACTATTCTACACCTGTTGTCTTTTTTTTTTTCCTTCTAATAAAGCTATATAAATAGTGTTTTTAATGGAAAATGCTATTTATATGACTTGATCCCCATTTTAAAAAAAAGGTATTGACATGTTTAAAATCAAAAACTTACATTTAAGTATTTACCGTAAATATCAAACACTTTTTAGCATATTCTCATCCCTTGATGCAATGCTAGCATCTGAGAAAACCATTGAATACAATTCCTCTATTGATGAATAACAAACTTCAACTTCAAAATCATAGTAGCAACCAAGAATAAGATTCTCAACTTGTATTATATTCGCCAATTAAAAAACTTTAAAATTAGCCACTGTCATTTTAACCATGATGTCTAGGCCAGCTTGTTTGCACCTCGATTAGTCTCAAGACTCTTGGAAAATTTAAAACTGATGACTATGAGGAAGATCCCCATAACAACATCATGTACTAATCATTTTCACACAAGGAAACATGTTTTTCATAACGTTAACATTAATTTGATTTTTATTCTATCTCACATTCTACATAACATGTAAAATGGATCAACAATATATGTTTTATTTGGTAAAAACCTATTTGTACTAGATATCTATTCAGAATTTACACTCAGCTATATTGTATGGGTATACAACTAGCATCACGATGGACAAAAAAAGACAAAAAAGAAACATGATTGATATTTTATATCATCGACTATAGAACGGGATGCACACCACAACATCACGAGGGGACCTTACTAGTGTTTTTTAAAAGACGAGTTATGATTATTCATGAACCTTTAAAAGGTACACACATTATTGCTTTAGGTATAAATGTTAAAGCTCCACAACCTTTCAAGTCCCACATTTATGGCATGATATTCAAAATCAGACAATTTTTAATTTAATTTACTTTATATCCCTTATTTTTTTCATTTTTCATTTTACACCTACCATATTGACATTAATAATCGTAATATGAACTAAAATATTTTTAAAAAATACGTTTGTTTTTACAAATTATACTATTATAATCATCTCGTTAATACGTTCAAAATGAGTCTAATATTGAATATTTTTGTATTTAATTATACTATTAAATATCATAAAATATATACGAATTAATTTGCTTTATATTCGAGTAAACTATGATTCGTCCCTACGGTTTTGACATTTAGTTTTACGTCTATATGATTTGTAATTTATTTTTGTTTTTATCTCTGCGATTAAATATATTAAAAATCCTTCATTTAAATTAGGGGTATTTTAGTCTTTTTAATTTATTAAATATCCACTTTGGTTTCTTTTTTTGTTATTTAAGTTTTTTTAACTTAATAAAACTATATATTTTTTGATAAAAGAATTAATACGTACAAAAATCATATCATTTTTTTTATTGTTTATGATAATAAAATTAAATATTCGTCATGTAATTTTGTTTTTCATATTTTTGGTCATTATAGTTTTAATTTCTTACTAATCCGATTTCTGAAAATTACATTTTTTATATGACGTTGTTTTGGATTTGTATTTAAAAAACATGTCATAAAAAAATTAATTGTACATTTTTATACTAAGAATATTTTAAAAAACGTTTAAAAACATTCTATTAACTTATCGGAACACATTTATATAAGACATACATTTATTTGGCATATATCACCGAGTAACTTATGAAACCAAACATTTGTGCGTTTTATTAAGAAAATTATATAAACCAAACATTTGTACGTTTTATTAAGAAAATTATATACATCTGTTTGATAGAAATAGTATAAAATAGTTAATTGTTTAGTCTTATAACTATTCATTTTATTCTTATAAAAATAGTTAATGCGACATTTTGTATTAAAAATGTCCTCAAATTTTTTAATACGCCCAAAAGCGTCATATAAACTTATTACAACGCATTTAAATAGAACATTTTATATTTTGGTCATATAAATTAAGTTTTATAAAACGGTCTATTGGGACACTTAGAGATCGGGGGTGTCCCATAAACCCAATTTTGTTGTAGTATCATTACTTTACAGGATGTGAAGATATAAAATCTTACCCGGTAAGAACGATGTCACAGTAAGTTAATCGACTTGCACCCGATTAGTATTTATAAGATAAATTATTACATGCAGTTAGGGGTGCTCAAAAACCCGACCAACCCGAACAACACAACCCAACCCAACCCAACCCAACGCGAAATAACTCAACCCTAAGCAACCTAATGTCTAATCGAATTGTAAAATTTTCAAACCGTATGTATTGGGTTGATATTGGGTTGCTATTATTTGAACCCAACCCAACCCGATGAACCCCATATTCTTTTATTTTTTGGATTTAATATGATCGTTGAATTTTTATTAATATATAAATTAGACTGTTACACTATCACGTACACTTTTCATATAGACATATTTTCAATTTATTAACATCTCTATATAACTCATTCGTATATATGTTCGGTACATGCAAACATATATATGTAAATTGAGAAAATTAACTGAATATGATACATGTAAGAAGTATGGATAAGTTGTATGAAATGGTTGATGATGAAAAGAAATTATGAGTAGAAAAATAACATATTCAAGGTTAGAAGAATATTTTAATGTACCAAAGTATCAACCCGACCAACCGACCAACCCGTACGTGTTTGGTTGTGTTAAGATTTTTCAAACCGCAAACATTAAGTTGGGTTGTTCAAATGTTTTCAATCCGATCAACCTAACCCATAAATATCCTTACATGCATTGTCGTTTTAATTTACTAAAATCTTATCTGATAAGTTAAATAAGAGTATAGATTCCAAACAGATGAACTTTTTGATATACGAGCCTTTATGAATTAGGGCAATGTGAATCACGTTGTGTGAACTTGTAACTCCACCTACTCATCAATCAAACGAAACTAATATTTTATCTTTATTTTAAAAAAGAAAAAAAAGACATAAATCCACAATTATTGACTATAAATTCAACATCCAGCTTCCAGAAATCTGCAACTCAACCTCTGCTCATCTCATCAATGGCAACCATCAACCTCACTGTTCCCTTCACTGCTCAACTCCATACCCAACCCTTCACAGGACCTTCAATCCCTAATAACCCAATTTCATCAAGGTTTCGGAAACCGGCTCGATCGTTGAAGCTCAAATGTATGGCAACGTCGATCACGAGTAAACCGATCGCAGAACCGACGACTTCTCCCATCTGTGATAGATGGCGGAAGATCCACGGCGAAGACAACTGGGCTGGCATGATCGACCCCATGGATCCACTCTTACGAACCGAGGTGATCCGTTACGCCGAATTCTCTCAAGCCTGTTATGATGGGTTCGATAACGACCCATTCTCGAAGTTTTGTGGAAGTTGTAAGTATCCTCCCAAGTCGTTTTTCCATGATCTTGGATTGGATAACTGGGGATACGAGATCACGAGCTATATTTACTCGAGCAACACGAGTGAACTGATTCCGAAAGTGTTTACGAAGGCCATCCGGTCCGATGGGCCGTGGAACCCCAAGGTGAACTGGATGGGGTACGTGGCAGTTTCGAAAGATGAAAGGGCGGCAAAATTGGGGCGGCGAGACATCGTGGTAGCATGGCGAGGGACCGTCACCAAATTGGAATGGGTTAGTGATCTCATCAGCTTCTTGAAGCCGGTTACGGCCGAAAATTTGTCGAGCCCAGATCCAGCGATCAAAGTCATGGCCGGGTTCTTGCATATATACACGGATAAAGATCAGAAATGCCAGTTTTCGCAGTTCTCGGCGCGTGAACAAGTACTCCTTCAAACCTCATCTTTTCTTCTTGTACATAAATATATTTACATACATACACACAGACACATATATTATATATATATATATATATATATATAAGTAATTCAAGGAAGAACTGATTTGTTTATGATAAGTGTGAGATTAAATCTCAATCACAAATTAATGGTTAAATTAGGAAACTAATAATTTTAGTAATTTGACTTAAGATTTTAATTAAAGGGTATTTTAGGTATTTTAATTTTTTTTATCTCTTATCTCTCTATTCACTCCGGTGAAAACACATGATGCACATTGTGATACCATTCATAATATAACGAAAAAACACTGTGTGATACACTTAGTAAAACAACATTACCTAATACATTGTGTTACACTTCGTAAAACAACAAAAATACACTGTGATACACTTTGTATAACAATAAAAACACATTGTGGTATACGTACCACTATGATACTAGATATGGTTGATTAATACAATTGTGATACCACTGTATTACACCCAACGTTATATCTCCGACGATATATAGGTTACATCCAAAAACCTTACATCTCCGGCATTACATCTCAGATGATATCTGGGTTACATCTCCGTCGATATTAGCGTTACATCTCCGACAAGATATGGTTATGTCACCGCTCTAAAACGAGTTATGTGTAAAAACCAGAAATTGAAACCGATCTGGGTGTGCAGAAACCAGATTTGTGCGGATATGAATAACCGAAACTGATCTGGGTTGTTTTTCTCGATTGAAAGAAGCCATCGAACTGGTTGAGATGCGAATTATTCTAAATGAGATTTTTGAGTATTTATCCGATTCAAAATGATAATTATTTCTAATTACTAAAATTATTTTTTATTTTTGGTACTTTTTTAAATGATGGGTTATGTAACCCATATCCTTTTCGACTTCTCGTAAATTCACTGTCTTCTCGTTTGAACATGCCCTTATATATAAGGTCAGGTTCAGGAGAAAACCGCAAAAAAAATGAAAATTTGTTCCAGGAACACCTTGATACAATTTTCTTTTGGACGGTATATACATGTGCATACAAGTAATTTATATGCAATTTTGTCCGATAGGCACATGTGGATAACATGCACACATGCATAAAAACCAAAAAAGCAACTTCAATTACTTGTATGATTGTACAATTGTATACCCTTCAGATTAATGGTTACCGAATTGTTCCTTAGTTTTTCAAAATTTTGGGGTGTTTTCCCCTGATCCTCCATCCCCTCTCTCTCTCTCTCCACACACACACATATGTGTGTGTGTAAATGGGTGTGGTAGAATATGGATGAAAATCACTGTCATATTTATTTTCATGCCAATCATATGAATACACATAATGAGAGAGAGAAAATGTATATGAATTAAATAAACTTAAAATAAATATCTGATGTGTCATAGTTTCATTGATGGAACAAGAATGAGACGTGTGATTTTAGGACATGCGATTTATTCGTAGAATATTGGACAAAATTGTTTTTCCACCGCTTATGTCCACACATTAATCTGCATGTGTTAGTCTAGATTCGCTATTTTTTCAAGAATGGTTGTCAAAGTTATTTTTATATTTTCCATTAAGTCAAGTGTCTTAACTCGCAGGTTTTGGGCGAACTAAAGAGACTAATAAAGGTCTACAAGGAAAAAGGCGAGGAAATAAGTATCACGTTAACTGGTCACAGCTTGGGGAGCGCAGTGGCTACTTTATGTGCGTATGATATAGCGGAATCCAATCTCGATAAACTCGACAACAACCGTAAAATACATGTTTCGGTGTTCTCATTTTCTGGACCCAGACTTGGGAACACAAAGTTCAAAAAGAGACTCGAAGCTCTAGGAGTGAAGGTGTTGAGAACCTTCAACGTAAACGATAAAGTACCTACCGTGCCCGGGATTCTTTTCAACGAACAAATATTGACTTGGATTCAACCTATTGTCGATTTCATCATAGGGTTGTACACGCACGTCGGGGTGACATTTAGTTTGGATAATAAGTCCTCGCCCTTCGTGAAAGACAACATAAGTTTGGCTTCGATGCATAACTTACAACTTCTAATGCATCTAGTAGACGGGTAAGCATATCGCTGTTAACTTGACCATATCTTGTGAAATTTGCTTTTGTATATATCTTTTAATACGTATAGTCAACGGTCTTGAGCAGGTACCAAAGTACAGGGGCCAGATTTTCGCCTGCCGTTGGAAGGGACAAAGCCTTATTGAACAGGGATGACGACATTTTGGAGGACAAATATTTGATACCACCAAATTGGGGACAAATCGAGAATAAAGGGCTTCTTAAAAACGAAAATGGGGAATGGGAGTTACCAGAACAAGAGGATCGTTTTACACCTGAGGGAATTGAGCGTCATCTTGAGAAACTAAGCCTAGATTAGGCCCAACTTCTCAACATTAAACTCTATGTACAACCTTGGGATACATATAATGCCACCTTGCTTTATGAGTTATTGAACAAAAGGGTGCATTTATTTTCATATAGTTAAATGTATGTGTACAAAAACATAATACATAAGCGTTCTTTATATTTATGATAGAATTCTAACGTTCGAGATTGTGTGGCCTTGTGTTAGCCATTCCTTATTAGGTATTAAAATAAGAAACACGAGAACAACCAAATTACATGTAATCATTGTGAATTGGGGGACAAAGAAGAGTGTCTACCCGTTTTGCGTTGTGAACTGGCGGAAAAGAAGAGCGCCACAAGTGTCCCCTTTTGTTTCCATTCAACATGATGAATTCATAGTAAATGTACATAATTGAGGAGGAATGATACACCATTCAGGATGAGTATCCCGTGAATGTCTAGGAAATGTTATGACACCCCAAAATGAAGTAAATAAATAAATTAGAAAGCAAAAAGAACAAGGAAAATAAAATAAAATGAGTTTTATTTTATTGGAAAAAAAATATAAACATATTTGAAAATCAGATTAAAAATGAAGGAAATTGTCATATTAGGGGTGAAATGTGTAAGGATGTCAAAAGTAATAGAGCCAGGGGGCCAAATGCATTTTTATGAAAGTTAAGGGGCTGAGTCAGATGTTAACAGGTCCAAACCAGAAGGACCTGTTTTGTAAATATACATCAGATCTGCAAATTCAGAAACGTGAAAACGACCTCTCATTTGAAGCTTTATATCAGTTCAAATTTTCAACTATTAAGACAAAAAAAAAAAAAAACAGGTATATGTAGCCAACACCTTGCTCTACACTTTTGCTTCAAGAAAACCGAACTTTCGTTGAGTTTCGAAAGAGAAATCGGAGGTTGAAGTTCGGGTTCGAAAAGCTCCGTTTTATTGACGATTGGAGGTAAAACACTCAACCAAATTTCGAGTTCTTTATATGGATGGCTTCGTTTTTAGGTTCTCTATGAAACATTAGTAGCCTTATGTCTCAGATTTTAGTTTTGAATGTTCGATTTTGAGCTTTTTACTGATTTTCGAGTGGTTTTAAGACCATAACTTTAAACTAGCGTATGAGACTCAATACTTGATGGTTTTCGTTGATTTTTGTTCCTATGGTTGAGGAAAATCATTTTCTAGAGATTTTGCAAAAAAATATCGAAAACGATGAAGAAACGAGGCCAAACGGCCTGTTTTTCCGGCGCCGTGCGTGTCAATGTTTGCTGCTGGTCGTAGGGCTTTGTTGGGCTTCATCTTTTATTCTATTAATGTTGGGTCAAAGATGTTTATTGGACTATATTTTAGGCCCTTATTGTTTAAACAAAAGAATGCTATATTTTTTGGGCTTAATTTGAATACTTAAGTTATAGGAATTTGTTAATTGACCCAAGTTAATAAATTTCAGATTTAGTTAATTAGTTTATATTAACTAATTAATTTAATTTCTAAAGTAGTTACTATATTAAAATATTAATTTATTTATTATTATTTTTTTAATATTAATATTAGTTAATTGTTTATTTTCTAAGGAGGTTGCTTATATAAATTAGTAAATTGTTTTGATGATTTAAGCGCCATAATTTGAGTAAAATAATTATTGTGATGTTTTAATTTAGAGAGATGAGATTATAAGATATTAAAATATTTTTGGGATGACATCGAGTTTTAGACTTGGGGTTTGACTAAAGTTAGTCGAGGTTGACCGAATTGACCAAGGGTTGACTTTTGGCACGTTTGATCCATGTGGATTTTAATGATGGGTCAAATAGAGTTGTTTGAGACATATTAAGATGCTCGGATACGAAGTTTGACTTTAGGTTGTGTCTGAATGACAATAGTTGACTTTTGTTGACTTTTTGAGAAATTAAGACGTTAATGAGATGTTATGGTATGAAAT